AGTAAATCAGATATAGGAGAAGATTATGTTATATATGATAAAAATGGACTTGTGAAAAAGGAGTGTAATCAAATAGCAATTAATGATGTGGTTTCTAAACACAAACCAGTTGGCTTTATATCTGCCACCTCTTACTAGCAGTGTGACCATGGGCAGATGACTTAATTTCTCCATGTTCATAAAAGTACTTTCAGTGCAGTGTAACGGCTATAACACAGAACCCCAAAACATAAGTGACTCAGGACAATAAAAGTTTATCTCTTGCTCACATACCAGTTTACTGTGGCTATTCTGGGAGTGAGATCCTGCACAGTGATTCGGCAACCCAGGTTCCTTCCACCTCGTAGCTCTGCCTTCCGCTCTGCAGATCTCTGCCATCAGCCAGTTGGTGGGGGAAATGCGGGAGCATGGAAGATTGAGTAAGATGGCATGGATCAAGGCGAGGAAGAAGCTTTCCTTATTTTCTTCCACATTCCATTGGCCGGAACCCAGTCACGTGACCACATCTAACTGCAAGGGAAGCTGGGAAATCACCCTAACTGTACTGAGCAAAGGGAAGCAAGTTTGATGACCAGCTAGCCAGTGAGCCACATGCCCTCTGGTGCTTTGCTGTGAGGATTAGATAAGGTGATTTATGTAAAGAATTTAGCCAAGAATCCAGCACGAAGTAAGCATCAAGATCTGTAAACCACTGTTTCTCGCAGTCTCAACAGAATTCTCTGAAAATGGAGCCTAGTTTCCATCTCTAAAAGTGACATATGCCCCTCTCTCAAAGTAATACTTTTAAATATAATCTTTTCTTAAATAAAATAATAATAAATTTGAGATAAATTTCTAAGGAGTAAGTTGGATTATGTTTCATGTCCCTAAGGGGCATATGCAGGTTTATAGCAGGCAGCGTCTAATGGTTTTTGAACTGTAACTGTTTTTGGTGTCCTTGGGCCTTCAAAGCCAGAAAACATTGGAAAGCGGCATGATAGAAAAAAGACTGGAGACTGCTAATAACAATACTGAAACTTGCGTAAACAAGCAGCCATCCTGCCTTGAGCACAAAATATAGAAATAGAAATGAAATATGAAATGCGTGGCCAGGGCTGCAAGTCCATGGGTAGGAACTGGTGAAAATACGCATCTGGTTTGGTGGGTTATAAATTATGTTACTCTCTGCTGTGTATCTGGGGAGGTACACATGGAAAGTCTGTTGCAGAGCTTCATTATATGTTCTTTTTCATTCATCTCTGCCAGAGAGTGGGATGAATCACGGTGAGGTCTACATTCCTGTGGGAGCCAGTGGAAGTGTGAGTGGAAACATTCTTGGGATGAAGGCTGCAGCAGAGTAGATGTCTCCAGCCCTAGGGGAGCTAGGGTACCACCTTGAGAGAGGCTTTTAATCTGGAGTCCATGGTGGGCTGGAGTTATAATGCAAGCACAGTGTATGTACATGATTCTGGGGAGATAGTTTCTTACTATTCATCAGGTTTGCCTTTCTGGTGAAAAACAACTTAGAATAAGGGAGCTTGACTCCTTTTCAAATGTCACTTCAGGTCTGGTATAAAGTGAGCAGATGCCGCCTTCGCCCCCTTTGGTACCCAGTGATGTTCACTTCACAGGAATCCGGAGCATCTGCAGCCATGCTCTGAGAGCCCTTGGCTTTCTGGAGACAATGCTTTGGATGAGTTTCCTGCCAACAGAACTAACTTCAGCCATCAGCAAGGACATGTTGGTGTCCTCAGATAAATACTGTCATCTTCCTTTAACATCCACAATATGGAGATCTTAACAGTATTTAGGTGTTTAATAAGCATTCCCTTTGGATGGCTATAATTTTCTAGAAACACGTGCACACACACGCACACATACACGTCACGAAGGGCTCCTTTTCTAACTTTAGTGCCAGAAGTTGGACAAAATCCTGAAACCCCACTTGGAGAAATGCTTTCCAACAGCATTGCTTCATCCCATCCCCGTAACAAGAAGTGTTTGATAGCATATACCCTAATATGGGTCTTAAATATATTT